CAAATGCACCACACGGGACTACATCGGAGTATTCCACATGCGGAGCAGAATCCATATCGAGAGTAACAATCGTAAAACTCTCTATCAGCAACCATATAATGTTTATCGTCATACTCGGTAAAACCCTTTATTGGTTTGTTGCGCCTCTCAAGCCAGGTGGAATATCGTCTATGTTGACTGACATTATGATTGTACTTGTGTGTTGGAAGTGAGTATATTCTAGCAAACTCACTCACAAATGTTGTTGTACATTCTTCGCTATTTCCAAGGCATAGCAGCATTATTTCTACGTATTGGCGAATAGCTTTGTAGACGTTGTCAACTTGAGTTGGCTTTATGTTGGTGATTTCCTCGTAAGGAATCCATTTAAGTCTTGAGTATTCATCTTCACTTTCCAAGAAGGATTGGACCAAGTTGTCAATTGCTGGATTATTAACCCCTGGAACTAATGACATCGTTTGAATGAGAAGTTTTCAAGTATAATCACTGAGAGAGAGCATTCTCAACGTTTATTGTGTTACATCACACGGATCTCCAAGGTGTTACAGTTTTGTTATAATGAGCCTCATAGTAAATCGCATACTGTTATCGAAGTTCGATACAAGGTGTTTATATCGCGAGCTTCATAATCGATATGTTTTCTAGTCCACTATAACGGGTTCGACACCCGAAACGCTTAGGCAAGGTGAGTAGAATAGGGTTGTTTCTTTGAATTGATTCTTGTTTATCAGGCTTTGCAGAGACTATCTTTACTAATAATATGGAACTGTCTATTTTAAATTATCACGTGAGGTAAACATATCGATGTGCACATAAACTGCTTGGACTAAACTATTGGACTTCCCATGTTATATTTACGCTATATGAAATGCGATTTATTTTTATACGTTGACTATGTTTATTAGTTTTCATAAAAAAGACTAAACTCTGTTTGCTGTTTGTACGCTGATCTACTGTTGATGTGTCATGGTTTAAGAAAATGCGCAATTTATAATACTAAGACTAAAACCGCCGGTTATTTTTTGCCTCCGTCCTCATAGAAAAATTTAGAGATGTTTACTTCACCTTATCTAATATAATAAATATAACAACACTTCCGACTCGAAACTTTTTTCTTTCATTACGAAATCGATTGAATTTATTTGCTGACCGAAAAAAAAGGCAATTTATTTTTCGTCGTTTTATAAACTTGTGTGATAAGCATCATCACGTATGATGTGTGCATAAATTGATTCATAAATTCACCTGTTTGCTCTTTCAGGTTCTCCCTGTACATTTTGTCCTGTGTGACTTAGTGTAAAATATATTCCATTATTCTAACTTTAACTCTACGTTAGCAACGCGTACGTCTTTATTGGATTGGTTTATATTCGGAAGAAAAGTCGGATATTATGGAAAATAACTTAAAAATTAAACCGTTTTCAACTGGATTAAAAAGATAAATTATGGTCAACATCATTGTTTTCCCAACTGGTATTCATATCTTAACACAAACCTTGTTTCTAAACGAGTGTATTCTACGAATTATACCGTAAACTATGAATCATGCCTTACATTACAGAAACCTGTAATTCTCTGTGACATCAGCCTAAGACTACTACTATCTTATCAGGATACGGATAGGACAGTCATAACTAATTTGTCCTGATATAATACAAATCTCGTCACAACATTATTGTGGTGTCGTCACTGTAATCCGATAGGATATCTTGCTGAGATTGTTACGTGCATACCGTCACAAAATTTTTAGGAAGATGAGACGATAAGTTGTTTGCTGCATAATCATCGCGCGATACGATTAAAAGGTAGTATCGACGTGCTCATGAAACAGATATGTTCTTTATTTGTTTTTATAAAACGATAGTTGTTCTAATGCATTAATACATGTAGTGAGACCTCCATAATAATAAATGCAACCTCCCGTTTCTACAATTGCGAGTCCCGCTCTAGTGGATTTATTTCCCGAAGTGATTCACGTAATGTTATTGTTGATATCAAGTTTCAAACATCACAATTCGCGCACAAAATTATTTGTTATAGATCCAGTTTTACGTGTGAAAAAAGAATTCTTCGTAAAGCATTGCTATTTTCTTTTTTCAGGTTTGAGTTTACAATAGCTTTGAAACAGCAGAAGTATTTTAATTGATTATTATTTCTTTATTTCATGTGACAGATTAAAACGAAATCGGATTAAAACGAAGTTTTCTCTATTTTAATATGAAAATTTTAAAATTTTTTGGGGGACGCTTTTTTGGGGGGGATTTGGGATGGGATTTAGGGAAACTTTTGTTAATAGGTGGGTTTCAGAGCCATTAAAAGAGGATCCAAAAAGACCTCAATTTCGTTTTAATCCGATTTCGTTTTAATCTGCCATAATATGGCGTGTGCAAATAGAGATTTGCGAATAAAAAGATTTATTACTAGGTTATTTACGCATCCAAAAACTTACTGTGAAAATTAGGGTTAGAAGTTGATCATTATGAACCACCAGTCTTTGAGGCACTCCAACGTAATGTTAATGTGAATCATTTCTATTTTTTTATGAATGTATAATGTATTTAAATTGATTACAATAACATATATAGAATATAGAATAGAAATAATAATTTTGTGGTGCATGGCCTTCTACCTTATAAAATGTAACTGTTGTCCTAAGGGTGGTGAGTGGAATAAGATAAAGAATATATAAAAACGGTCGCAAATGATCTACAATAACGAAAGAGGTAATAGGTTAGTGGAAAAATATCGCTTTACCAAATATATTTCGCATTTGCCAACAAGATGAAAAAAATTCACAGAAAGGGGAAGGCTATAGTTCAGGTGATGGGGACGAAAATTTACTTTACATAATGTGTAGCAAAATTTTTTTGGCGTACTGCAGTATTAAAATTGAAAATAAAACTGAAAACATATATATTATATTTAGCTAAGCTTTAGAAGAAAGGCGATGGAAAAGTGCCGAGTTGCTTGCATTTGTAGATCGTAATCAAAATCTGCTGATCATTACCATCCAAAAGGCAATCTTTGATAATTTTCGCCAATCATTTCTTTGGGTAGTTACATCCCCGAATTACTTTAGGTTGGAATTGTTTCAACCAATACAAATCGATTTTTCAAAACATATTTTCACTATTTCCATAAAAGCAGAAAACTGGTCATTTTCGTATAAAAATTCGAGGACAAGGAAAATGGTTTGACTGTGTTTTCGTGTCCAACTTAATTTTACAACGAACGAAAGTTCAGCCCGTCACCAAAAATGGCGCGCGGTATTGGAAACGAGTTGAAAACGCTCTTAGAACTTTGGAAAAGTTTGAGCTGGAGGATAATGATGCTAGCCGGGGATGTGCATGGAGAAAAAAAACGATATAGAAGCAATTGTTTCAGAAGTCAAAGATCTAATATATGGTCATATTCAGTGATTGATGAGATTGGAGGTTCATACGCGGAATCGAGTGTGCTCTGTTTTGGACAATCATTAGGAAATGTATATTAATAATAGAGATAGTGACATATAAAAAATCTGTTTCTACACACGATAATAATACATGACGTTATTCGGTTGCATAAAACGCAATAGTCTTGTTTATTAATAATACAATAAACAACTATTTATACGTGCGTCTTCAGAAAAGCAATAAAGGCCGGTACTATTTGGCTTACAAAATAAAAAACTTATATGTATGCCGCAGAACCCTCGGTTATTACTATGTACTATATTTAATAGCTAAATAATACTATTAATTTCGGTCGTGTACAAGGTGATTAAACCGGTCTTCTGTTAACAATACAAACAAATGGTACAGATCAGAGATGTTGCGGAAATCACGGAGGAATACGTTTATTGGAATCCTGACAAGATCCTTATAAAATTACTTTGCCTGTGTCTTCTTTATTGATCCTTTAGTTTCTCATTCTCAACAATCTCCTCGACCAGATTTTTAAATTCAGTGCTCTCAGTGATCTCATCAGCAAAGACTGCGAGTTTTTTAAGCGTCTCCGTTCTTGTGTCATCCAAAGGAATATTTTCTGACAAATCATATTGAAGGCGATAATAATGAAAATCTTGTTCAGTTCTAAGACTTTCTAAATAACCTTCAGTAAGTTTAGTTGATGCATTCATCATAAGAGAAATTAGTGGACTCATCCAATAAATCCATCCACTTTTTATCAGTCCATTTAACTCCGCTTGAAAAAATCCTGTTCCTAGAGAACATACTACAAATTTTTTTGCCTGAGGATATTTTTTTTTTGCCTCCAAATAAGCTTTAAAAGCTGGATTATTAATAAAAACGCCTCCGTCTATGTAGTAGCTATTATCTATTTGTTTTGCCGGAAAATAAGTAGGCGCAGCAGTACTAGCTCTAATCACATCACTTATTTTATAAGAGTTTGGATCGTAAGAATCGTTGGTGAAATACACTTCCCTTTTCTCAGTTATGTTATAAGCTGGAATTAGCACATCTACATTACTTACAGTATCTTTAAGTGATTTATCTTCAAACTTTTCACTTAATAATTCTTCAAGTGGTTGGGCAGAATATGAAGGTTCGAAAGGCCCTTCTAAAGGCATTTCTATCCTGGTATGTGCTTTAAAATATGTAGAATCGAATGTATCAACTGCGGGTTCTTGTTCCGTCTCATCTGCCCGTGGCATAGCCGTCACTTTAACCCAATTCCAACGGGAAATTGAGCCAAAAACCTTCTTTCCATCTTCATTATAAATTTTTACCAGATCAGATGCCCGATACTTTGGACGAGGGTTTTTGGCTTCATCTGACACTGTGAGCCCCAAAGAAATAATAGAGCCTGTCGAAGTACCAGCCACCATATCAAATATATCAGCAATTCGAACATCTTTTCCTCGTTTCATAGATACTTCTTTCTCAAGTTTATCAAGTATCATGGCTGGAATTAAACCCCGAACCCCTCCCCCATCAATGGAAAGAATCCACACTTTATCTACATTAACTTTAGTTATTTAAAAAAATTTTCATTTTTGTATTAAACAAAAATCCAATAAAATATATCTTTACCTTTTGCCATATTTAGGTAACAAAAATTTTAATTTGAAGAGAATTTATCAGTGGTGGGTCAGTTCTTTAGTACTTCGTAAATATTAAGCAGAAACACTTTATATATATTGAAATCTTCAACAAAAAGTGGCATGACCTGATCGAAAAGTGGCATGTTATGATGACCTGATAAGAAAGTGACATGTTATAATGACCTGATCGAAAAATGGCGTGTTTGATTTTAAAGATAATGGTATCTTAATTTATGCTGTCGTGTTACTCAGGGCATAGAGTCAGCAGACAAATGATCAATACTACATAACCAACCAATAAATTTAAGAGATCTAAGTAATACGGAAGTAGATCGCCTATATATAGAAATGACATGATGTTTTATGTAACACAAATAGCATTAATAGTAAAGCGGGGATATATAAACGAGTCCCATGATCATAATAAATATTATAGATATGGAAATTTGATACAACTGAGGGAAATTCATATAGAGATACAATAGGGGAAATCCGTCCAGCATCAAGACTGGGGGTGGGATATAAATGAAGGGGATACAACTGTATTAGAACAGTAATTTAGAGACGGGCGTATCACTTGGCGTAACGCGCACGTTGCTATGGGTTTCCACCAGTATCTTGCTAGTAAGAAACGAGATGACACTTTGACACATTATTATTGGTTATCCTAAAAAGGCAATTTTTCCATTCGCTAATGGAGCAATGGATCAAAGCGTGTAGTGTTTGCACAGTTAGACGTCCGCTCAGAAAGGCGGTATCAGCAAGGCCTATTATCGCTAACGAATTTATGATGGTACAAGTAAGCAACAATTTAATTATTTTATTTTTACTTTGTCTTATTATTATATATTTTTTAAGTTATTTTTATTGGTAAAACGTAGGTCGATCTTATCGATATGAGAAGCCGTTAATATTATAATTAGGCATAATCTACGTCACTATGATGTGTGAATATACATATTAGATCATACTCTATTGATTCCATTCGCTCCATTGGATGTCATATTTAGGATTTTGTTTTTGTCATGGAGAGTGAAACTGTGTATTGACTCCTTATCCCTAAAACAAGCAATACATTACTCCAAAACACTCCTTCCGATAACGCCATTATCCACGGCTTATACGAGGCAAGCCATACTAATACGTACATTCTTAAAACTATCTACTGTAGTTAGGCTTCAAATTATAAATTCTTTCTCTGCTTTTTTACCTTGTACTAGAGGTTTTTAAAGTTCGAACTACAGAAAGTTATTGAAACATTGCTCACGCCTAAGAACATTCTCCTTTTAAAAAGCATCTTGCCATCTAACATTCTTTAAGTGTCCTTCAGTTATTAGATATAACATCCATAATATAATTAAACGAAAGAGACTGGTCTTGCCATGTTTTATCGAGTTGCTACGACTCCGTAGAAGCCGATAATGTAGAACTTTATTGTCTATCTATTAAACTCTATAGAAGTCACTTACAATAATATGACGACACAAGAAAGTCGCCACTATATGGAATTATGACGACATTCACAATTTGGACAAGTTTGGTGGAACATGTAACTCGCATGTTTTGAAGGAAAGATCACGAGCTATTGAGCTAAAACATGTGACTGTGTATATTGTCGATTCTTTCCAACCTTTACTATTTTCCCCACGAGCACGGTTAACGTTCAAAGTACTAATAAGTTGTACCCTAATCGTATTATTTATACTGTCAGGTGTATGTAATCTAAATATCGCCAGGATATACCTGACCTTGTGAACGCTGTCACAGGCACCAACTAAAGAAGAATATTTGCTCATGAGTATGAAGGAAGGTGTTCTATTTGTCGGGTTGAAAGTTGCTGTTTCTAATTACAATACGCAGGGTTTTAATAAACGATTGTAAGAATTAGAGGAATGCTATGTTGTATATTCACATGGTCGCGCCAGCTATCGATTTAGCTCTATGCTCAGTCTTAATTCTGTTATTCGACCATTGTTACCGTTACTGGATTTTCCAACTCACGGTCAATGGCGCTGTTGCTGACGATAATTCTAAGTTACAATAGTCAGTCTTTAAATTCTCGCCTATGGTTATTTTTCTACTAACAATAGAGATAGCAACTTTGTTAGTGTAGGTATACGCGTGTTTACATTTATTGCAACCATTAAACGAACCCACATTTAAACAAGTAACGATAATTTATCGGCAAAGGAATCGTCGATTCTTAATATAGAAATTCTCGTCTGTCGTATTATGAGATCGACATGATTCGTAAATGGGGCATGATCTATGAAAATGTGTAGTTGGTGATTTGGGATCGAATTTGAGTTTTTGTGTGGGATGTATACTTGGGAGTACTCTCTACCTTGCGTCTTTTTCCCGACCCCTAATGTAATAGTAAAGTTGTTCACAACAGCGGTTAGAAGTTCAGTGTGATCTGCAAGAAAGGTCACCAAGACTTCAAATCTGTACCCTAAAATCCTTGCCGATCATCATAATAAACAACGGCTGCATTTATTTTTTCAGTTTTTTGACTGCTTATTCTGTCTTTATATTTCTCACTCTTCAATAAAAAGTCAAATACATAATAATAATGGAGAACGAATTTATCGAATCTATTTCATATAAAAAAGACCGCTTTCTATCCCAAAGAGTAACAGAGCATTATTCAGTCAGTTCCACTGATTCAATAATAATAAACAGTTCTGATTTTGAAATACGTACAAGTAGTCATGATGAGAAGGAAAATCAACCATTACTTGCTAACTTCGAAGATAATGATCTCAACGAATATGAAAATAACGAGCTTGTACAAAATACTATTCAAGAATTGAATAAATTCTTCGCTACTGTTAAGTGTCAATGTTCTAATAATAATAAAGAAAATAAAAAGTGTTTTGAGGTTGTTGGATTTAAACAGTTTTTTGAACGTCACCTCCAATTTCGTGCTTTGAGTAGAGAAGAATTGGAAGCAGTGTTAATGGGACAAATTCTGGCATTCCAGTGTGATGGAAACATAAAGAGTGACGGACATTGTTCATGCGATTTCTAGATACCGTTTTAATGGACAAGTTACTCTCTGTATGACAGTCTATCTAAAACTGATAGGCATTAGTAGAAGCAAACTTGATGCTATTAAGCAGCAATTAGAGGAAAATGGACTAATATAAATAATGAGAATGCATGGTAACATTAAGCACTTGCCTCAATGGTCAACTAAAGTAACAATTACCCACAATGTTGCCAAAGAAGTTTCATCTTTTATCCTTAATTATGCTGATATCAATGCACTTGCAAGTCCTGGCAGGCATCTAGAAAGGGATTTCCAAGCATTGACATACTTACCCACAGATGAAAGCTATACTTCTGTTTTCCATCAATATAAACAAGCTGCAAACAAGAGTCACCACCAAGTCAGTTGGTCTTCCTTTGTTCATTTATGGAAATCACTAACTCCTCATGTTAAGTTTATGACACCCAAGTCAGATCTATGCTGTATTTGCAAAACATTAAGATGGAAAATTGGTCATACCAGATAGTTCTGAGATAAATATACTAATCATATAAGGGTTGCTAAAATTGAGCATGAATATTATAATGATAACATTAAGAAAGCAAAAGAAAACCCTTCCCACATTCATTCAGTACTTGCCAGCAGAGAAAGACCCACACCAAATACTGTTGATGGTAAGAGTTTAAAATATGCTTGACCTGTTCAAGAGAAGTGTGTAACTCACAATCATATTTTACTGCTTTCTGAAATATGGATAACATTAGCTATTGCTCATTTTTGTTATGATTGGGCCCAGAATGTTCCAGTGCCATATTCTCCACAACAAATTGGTCCTTTGTACTTTAAGAGTGTGCGCTCAGTCAGTATCTTCGGAATTAATGACACTGGGAATCAGCCTCAATCTCTCCAAACAAATTACATCATAGATGAAGGGGAGTTTCCTGTAGGGGCATCAAAGGGTGCAAATACGACTCTAAGTTTGGTTTATGACACCCTTACTAAACGTAACAGAGGTGAGAAGAGCCTCAAGATTACCTGTGACAACTGTGGAGGACAAAATAAGAATAACACTACTATTGCCTTCTACTGTTGGTTGGTGCTGATCGGTATGTTCAATATGATTGAACTTACTTCTGGGCATACAAAATTTATTTGTGATAGGTATTTTGGGTTACTAAAGGTTCGTTACAAAAAGTCAAGGATAAATACTGTTGACAATGTCGCTGAAGTAGCTAGAACATCTGCCCATTGTAATAATGCAGTTCGTTACAAAGATTATGGGTGGAAATATTTTGACTTTGTCAATTATTTTACTCCTTACTTCAAAAGAGTTTCCAATATTAGGCAGCTCCATCATTTCTCCTTCAGATCCACTGAACTTGGGAAGGTTTTCTGTCAGGAAACTGTTAACAGAGAATTTACAGTTGTTGATTTATTTAAAGAAAATATCACGTTTGATCCATATATACTACCACAAACTCTAGATTTAAAACCTATTTCACTTACGAGACAGACATATCTCTATAATGAAGTAAGAAAGTTTGTCGATGATGCTTATAAAGATATAACTTGTCCCAGACTGCCAGAAGTTGTTACGGCGCGCTGATCTGATGAATCAGATAAGTAAGTCACATGGTAAAATCTCCCTCCGCCGCAGTCACGCAGATCCAATGATCGACAATTAATTTTGGTATAGTAATACGCGATACCATCCGTTGCATATTTTGAGCATCAGACT